CTAGTTATTGTTCCAGGGGATTATAGTATAGTGTCTAGCATGTTCCTAGTGGATGTTCCAGGGGATTATGGTATAGTGTCAAGCATGTTCCTAGTGGATGTTCCAGGGGATTATAGTATAGTGTCTAGCATGTTCCTAGTGGATGTTCCAGGGGATTATGGTATAGTGTCAAGCATGTTCCTAGTGGATGTTCCAGGGGATTATAGTATAGTGACAAGCATGTTCCTAGTGGATGTTCCAGGGGATTATGGTATAGTGTCAAGCATGTTCCTAGTGGATGTTCCAGGGGATTATAGTATAGTGTCAAGCATGTTCCTAGTGAATGTTCCAGGGTATTATGGTATAGTGTCTAGCATGTTCCTAGTGGATGTTCCAGGGGATTATAGTATAGTGTCTAGCATGTTCCTAGTAGATGTTCCAGGGGATTATAGTATAGTGTCTAGCATGTTCCCAGTGGGTGTTCCAGGGGATTGTAGTATAGTGTCTAGAATGTTCCTAGTGGATGTTCCAGGGGATTATAGTATAGTGTCAAGCATGTTCCTAGTGGATGTTCCAGGGGATTATGGTATAGTGTCAAGCATGTTCCTAATGGATGTTCCAGGGGATTATAGTATAGTGTCAAGCATAACCCCAGTGGATGTTCCAGGGGATTATAGTATAGTGTTAAACATGTTCCTAGTGGATGTTCCAGGGTGTTATTTTTTATTGTGTCAAGCATACGCCTTGTGGATGTTCCAAGTTATTATAGTATAGTGTCAAGCATGTTTCTAGAGGATGTTCCAGGGGATTATGGAATAGTATTAAGCATACTTCTAGTGGATGTTCCAGAGGATTATGGAATAGTGTCAAGCATTCTCCTTGTGGATTATTTAAGGGATTATATTCTTCTAGTGGACGATCAAGTGGATTATGGATTATTTAAGGGATTATATTCTTCTAGTGGATGATCCAGTGCATTATGGATTATTTAAGGGATTATATTCTTCTAGTGGATGATCGAGTGGATTATGGATTATTTAAGGGATTATATTCTTCTAGTTGATGATCGAATGGATTATGGATTATTTAAGGGATTATATTCTTCTAGTGGATGATCCAGTGCATTATGGATTATTTAAGGGATTATATTCTTCTAGTGGATTATACGGTATAAATTGCTTTACTTTGTGAATGTTCTAGGAATTTATACAGTATTGTTACAAACACTCTATTCATAAGGGATCCTTACCTAATTACACATATTGTTAGAACTGTGACACAAGGAATGCAATTCATGTGATTTTCATGTTTAAATAGTTATATTGTTACAAACACTCCCCCCACAAGGAACCCTTACCTAATTACACATATCGTTAGAACTGTTTCTTGTTTAAATAGTTATATTGTTACAAATACTCCCCCTACAAGGGACCTTTACCTAATTACACATATCGTTAGAACTGTGACACAAGGAATGGAATTCATGTGATTTTCTTGTTTAAATAGTTGTATTGTTACAAATGCTCCCCCTACAAGGGATCCTTACCTAATTACACATATCGTTAGAACTGTTTCTTGTTTAAATAGTGATATTGTTACAAATACTCCCCCTCAAGGGACCCTTACCCAATTACACATATTGTTAGAACTGTTTCTTGTTTAAATAGTTATATTGTTACAAACACTCTCTCCACAAGGGACCCTTACCTAATTACACATATTGTTACAATTGTGACACAAGGAATGGAATTCAAATGATTTTCTTGCTT